TGACCTTCAGTCATCCCCATCTGGGGGATTTGCTGACCTTCAGCCATAGAACTAGGATGACGAAGACCGGGATGATGCATACCAGGCAATCATTTGACCAGTTCCGAGGAGCTTCCGAAAGGGACTATGCTGGTCTGCACATAGAGAACTTTCCAACCTCCTTCCCTTGATCCCTTCGTTCTGCTTTCCCTCTCCCTCCTTATAAAAACCTCTGCCCGCACTGAGATGTTAGGATGGTCTTTGTAACAAGAGTCCCCCATAGTCTCAGAGGTGTGACGCTGGAATAACCCTCTTTCCTTTTTCACCAGCACCTGTCTCACACGTGTGGCTTGGACCCTGGTTTCAGTAACTAGCGTTTTAAAGGCACTGTGGTTCCATGTCACATGGCCCCTCCCCCATCTATATACCAGCAACACCATTCCCAGCCAATTCTCATGGTTCAGATCTCCGTGAATTTCCCGCCACATCTCTCTCACTTGAGCCAGAGAACATGCTCTGCCTGTAAGGACTCACGTCATCACCCAGGTAAAACCAGAATAACTTCCCTATTTATTAAGGTTCATAATCTTAATAGCTTCTATAAAGTTCCTTTCATAGTGTAAGGTAACAGATTCACAGATTCCAAAGATGAGGCCATGCATATCTTGGGGGGGGGGGGGCATTCTGCCTGCCTACCACATGAGAAAATGCTGAAATTAAAAAGGAAAAAAAAAGCAGCAAGATATTAGCCGGAGTTTCTCATTTTAGACTGGATAATTGTTGTGGGGACTGTCCTATACACAGCAGCTCTGTTTTCTAACTACTAGAGGACAGCAGCACCTACCTCCCCCCAACCCAAGTTGTGACAAATATTGGCAAATATTCCCCAAAGGTCAAAATCACCCCTAGCTCACCCCTAGCTGAAATCTCTCTCTCTTTCTTTCTCTCTCTCTGCCTCCTTTCTCTTCTCTTCTCTTCTCTTCTCTTCTCTTCTCTTCTCTTCTCTTCTCTTCTCTTCTCTTCCTGTTGTCCCAGTTTAGTGAAACACATACATACCACACACACACACACACACACACACACACACATATTCACATAGAAAGTAAAGAAAATTGGAGAAAAAATAAAGTACTAATAGTGGCTGTTGTTTATTTTCTTTATGTTATTTTAAGTTTGAATAGTTATTACTTTAAAGCATTATTTTGCAAAGCAATTTCTCCCCCAATAGATTTTTAAACCTGAAAGCTGTGTCTTTATTCTCAGAAGTTCTACTTGGTAGCACTTCAGTTCTAATATACCATTGAATTTCTGTATCTCATTTCATAACTAAAAGTATGTTTCTCTGTTTTGTCAGGTTTTTGTGTCAGGATATATCATCTATACCTAAAATTAACTGAAACACCAACAAAACTAGTTGTTCCTTTCATTTGAAAGAACCATCCAGATAAGTGGTCTGGCTGCTAGAGCCTTTTTTTTTTTTTTTTTTTTTTTTTGAGAGAGAGAGAGAATTGCTTGAGAACTTTTTTCAGTATTTTCCTTGATTATAGGACACTAGAGGCCAAATGCACAAAATTCGTGCACAGGGAAGTGGTGTCCCTCAGCCCAGCCTGCACCCTCTCCAATCTGGGACTCCGAAAGGGATGTCCTACTACCCATTTAGGCCTGATCCCAATAGGGTCGGGCCTAACTGAGCAGTCAGACATCCCTCTCACAATCCAGGACTGCTGCCTCCCAACTGCTCACCTGCCTGTCTTCCTGATTGCCCCTAACCGCTTCTGCCTGCCAGCCTGCTCACCCCCTAACCACTCTCCTGCCAGCCTGATTAATGCCTAACTTCTCCCCTGGCATTCTGTTTGCCCCTAACTGCTCTCCCCTGCAGGCCTGGGTCTCCCCCAACTGCCCTTCCCTTCAGGCTCGGTTGCCCCCAACTTCCCTCCTCTGCTGGCCTGGTCACCCCTAACTGCCTTCCCATGCAGGCTTAATCACCCCCAACTGCCTTCCCTTTCAGGCCTGGTCCCTCCCAACTGCCCTCCCCTGCTGGTCATCTTGTGGTGGCCATCTTGTGTCCATATGGGGACAAGATCTTGGACCACATGGGGGCAGCCATCTTTGGTGTCAGAGTGATGGTCAACTTGCATATTACCCTTTTATTAGATAGGATTATTATTTTCTTCTACTTCTTGAGTCCATTTTGGCCATTTTACTTTTCCATAAAATCATCCACTTTGAAACATTCATATTTATTTGATATGAGCATAGATAGTATATTATAACATGTAATATCCACTTTATCTGTGGTTATATCTTCTTTCTCATATTAATATTTTCTACCTTATTATTAGGTTTTCCAGAGATTTGTCTCTTTCTACTGATTTTTCAGAGGAACTATCTCTTCAATATATATACTTATCAGGTATAAGAAATTAAAAATGGAGCTACCATAGGACCCAGCAATCCCACTACTGGGTAGACTACATCCAAAGGAAATGAAATCAGTGTCTTGAAAAAACATTGTAGCATTAGCCACAATAGCCAAGACATGGAACAACCTAGGTGTCCACTCATGGATGAACGGTTTTAAAAAATGTGGATACAATGGGATGTTGTTCAGCCATAAAAAAGAATAAAATCTTGCCATTTGTGACAACATGGATGAACCTGGAGGATATCATACAAAGTGAAATAAACCAGACAGAGAAAGACAGACCCTGTACTATCTCATTTACATGTGGGATCTAAAGTAGTTGAACTCAGAGAAGCAGAGAGTAGAATGGTGGTTACCACAGGCTAAAACATGTTAGTTACAAGATGAGCTAAGTTCTGGGAGCTGACAGAACACTGAAGGCAGTGGCTATAGCTTTGTCTGCGGTCACTGCATCCCCAGCAAGCCCCTACCCTGAGCATCCAAGGTTAACTAGAACCGTAGGTCTCCGATAACCAGCCTTTACATGGTCACAAAACAGCTATCCTTTAAGGACAATACTGAACTACTCAATTTGGAGAAAGAAGTAAACTCATGTAAAAGTTCACATTTGGGGTTTTATTTTTAAAATGAACTATTGTTTCATTTGGGGTTGATTCCAGGAAACCTTCCCACTGGGGCCAATCCCCCTCCTCAACTTGGTTAATGGGCAGGGCGAGGGAGTGGGGGAGCAGAGTCACAGGAGAGGGCATGGCCAAGCCGCCCAAAGGCATCCCAAGTAAGATGAGGATTAACCCAGCCAGTTTTGTTCAGTGCTTAGAGCGTCAGTCGGCCTGTGGACTGAAGGGTTTGAGGTTCAACTCGGGGTTGCAACTCCATCCCTGGCCTCAGTCGGGGCATGGGTGAGAGGCAACCAATCAATGTGTCTCTCTCCCATCAATGTTTCTCTCTGTGAGCCCACCCCCCCCCCCCTCTAAAAATCAGAGGGGAGAACATATCCTCTGGTGAGGATTAGCAAATTAGCAACAACAACAGAAAAAAATGATGATTAGGAACCAGGTGGAGGTATGAGGACAGAAGCCAGATCCCACTAGGATGAGTGTGGAGGGGGATGAGGAAATGGAGACTGAATTTTCTAGAAGTTTGGCTAAGGAGAAAATGAGAGGAATGGAGTGCCAAGGGGAAGGGACAAGGGGCTAGCGGAGGTGTTTTGTTCTGTTGTCTTTCACGGTTGATGCAGGCACTTTTCAGAACTGATAGGACTGACGGGAGAGCTGAGGCTGGGGTAGAGGGCCATCCCTGATGGGTGGGGATGGGGCAGGACTTAAGATATCTGAGATGATGGGAGGCTTGCAGTCTTCATCACGAAGGTGAAATGAATCTAAGGGAAGAGCAAAGACATCCGCCTTCTCCAACCTGAAGGGCCAAAAGGGACCACAGTAGCCACAGGGGCAGCTGCTGGTGGGGGGCCTAGCCGGCGGCAGTACAATGGTGTTCTCACAGGATGGCTTCCAGATTCTCCATGAAGAGGAGAGCTCAGCTGCTGAGCAGAGAGAAAGGGTGGTCTGGAGAGGACAGGAAGAGGCAGTAAGAGGGTGAATGAGGTTGTTGGCCTTTCTAACAAGGTCCTCACTTTGAAAATGACTGAGAACAAAGCCACACTCAGGGGAACCCTTTGCCCGGTGCCTTGGGACTGCTCAGCAGCCCTGGGGTCCCAGAGGAGGAGGTGGCGCGGGGGTCCGAAGGCTGTGATGGGCCCTGGCTGAGCGGCTCCGTTGGTTGGAGCAGCCTCCGAACACCACAAGGTTTCTGGTTGGATTCCTGGTCAGAGCACGCACCCAGGTTGCAGGTTTGATCCCCAGTCAGGGCACAAGCAGAAGGCAATGGATGGATGTTTCTGTTTTATATCGATGCCTCTCTCTTCTCTCTCTAAATATCAATAATAATAAAAAATACTTTGGGGGGTGGAGGGGGGGGCCGAGGAGTGAGCCTGGGAACTTGACTGGAAAACTGCATTTATCTAGCAAACACTGTTTGAACAGATTGTGTGTTTGGGGAGGTTGGTCTTGGAAAGAGAACTGGAAGGGACAAGGCTTTGAAGAGGGCTGAATCCAAGCCTGATTGGGTGGGTGGGTGGATGGATGGATGGATGGATGGATGGATGGATAGGTGGGTGGGTGGGTGGATGGATGGGTGGGTAGGTGGATGGATGGATGGATGGATAGGTGGGTGGGTGGATGGATGGATGGATGGATGGATGGATGGATGGATGGATAGGTGGGTGGGTGGGTGGGTGGGTGGGTGGGTGGGTGGGTGGGTGGATGGATGGATGGATAGGTGGATGGATGGATAGGTGGATGGATGGAGTGAACCTCAGTCCTCCCCCAATCGGAGCAGCACTGAGGGGCAGGAAGGGGGCGCAGGCGCAGCGGGCTCAGGAGCCCCCCCCCCCCCCCCCGTCGGGGGCGGGCTGGGGGTGGGGATTAGAGGAAGGCACGAGAGCAGGATCCAAACTTCCGGTGCCTGCGGAGTGCGGGCAACGGCTGCGCCGAGCGAGGCAGCACCCGGAGCGGCTGCAGGCAGACGCGGCGGCGCAGCCATGGTGAAGATCAGCTTCCAGCCGGCCGTGGCCGGTGTCAAAGGCGACAAGGCCGACAAGGCTTCGGCCTCGGCCTCCGCCTCCGCCCCGGCCGCTGAGATCCTGCTGACCTCGGCTCGGGTGAGAGGGGCCGGGCTCCGGGAGGGACCCGGGGTGCCGGGGGCCATCCGCCCTAAGGTGGGGAGGGCCCGGGGCCTGGCTCAGGGGGCAGCGAACGCCCAAGTCCAAGTTTGGGAGGGGCCGGGCCGCTGGCGCCCAGGTGGGAAGCGCTGAAGGACTTCCCCAAAGAACAGGGGCCCGAGGAGCAGCCCCCGATGGAGGGAGGGGGCTGGGCCAAGCAGTTGGAGGGACTGGCGTCCGCGTCTGGTTCCAATCCAGGGGGAGGGGGGGATGGGAGGAGGCGAGCATTTCCCCGGAGCTGGGCGGTGGGTCGTGGTTGGTGGGAAATGGGGCGGGGGGGTCCTGGTGCCGTCGGGGGGAGAGGGGCCATTGATTTCGTCCCCAGAGGAGGGGAGGGGGGGGTCTGCCTGGGCGGGGGACGGGCTGCTACCCTGCACCTGAACTGGTGGAGAAAGGGGTGCCGGATGAAATGGAAATAAACCAGAACCCGCCGGCTGCACGTCCTGGGTCCAAAGTTCGGGGATCTGAGGCTGATCCCGACCCCCGAACCCTCTGTCCCCTCTTCCTTCCTCTCCGGGCTCTCCTCCGGGCTGCCCCCTCCCCGCTGCCCGGGCGTCCTACCGCCGCTCAGCTGCGCTTTGTGGGGGCGGGCCCGGTGCACCCCGCCCCCGGCGCGCCCTCCCCCGCCTCCCCCACCCCCAGCTCCCCTCCCCCCCAGCTTTCCCCCTCCCCCCCGCCTCTCCTACCCAGCTCCCCTTGCCCCCCCCCCCCCGGCTCCCCCTGCCTCCCCCCTGCCTCCCCCACCCCCAGCTCCCCTCCCCCCCAGCTTTCCCCCTCCCCCCCGCCTCTCCTACCCAGCTCCCCTTGCCCCCCCCCCGCTCCCCCTGCCTCCCCCGCCTCCTCGCCTCCCCCCTGTCCTCCCCCCACCCCCAGCTCCCCTCCCCCCCCCCCGCTCCCCCTGCCTCCCCCGCCTCCCCGCCTCCCCCCTGCCTCCCCTTCTCGGGCTGGGAGGGGAGGCATTTCCGCGGTGGAAAACGGAGCGGGTGAAGTCTGACTGGGGAGGCCCGAGGGGGCAGGACGCGTGGCTCGGACCGGAGGCGAAGGGAAGGGGGAGCGGGTCCAGCCAGGCGAAGGCGTCTTCGCAGCGTCGCCCACGACGATCCTGGGCCGCATCAGGGCCCCCAGAGCCTCTGGAGACTGGACTTGGGAGGAAAGTTACTGTCCGCTCCCTCCCCCTGATGGAGGCTGCGTTCTGAGGCCTCCCCTCCGTGCCAAGGCCCTCCTCAAGTGTATGGCCTGAGACACCTCGCCCAGGCTGGATCTGACAGGGCTGCAGGGGAGATGGGACCCTGGAGAGGAGTCTCAGCCATGGGTGTCAGCCTGAGCAGGCACCCTGAGCCCGCAGCATCACGGACCACCTGGGCTGGGCTGGGGGGTCGCTATGCCCCCCACCACAACAGCTCCATCTTATTTGGACGCCTAGGTGGGGAGGGAAACTCCATATTTGAAGACTGATCTGCAGCTTTAAAAATTTCCAATGAGCACCTTTCTAGCCTCTTTCCTCCCTTCCTCTCTGCCGTGGGCGGTGCAGGGATGAGGGGCCCAAAGCAGCATTCTTGCCCCTTCTCCCAGCTCCTGGCACCCAGCCAAGGCCTGGAAAACAAGGCCCTGTCTCTAAGAGCTGCAGGATTTGGGCAGGAGGGGGACGGGCCAGATTAAGGAAAGATGTAATTCCAACTCCATCAGAAGGCCCACAGGTTTGCGGGAGCGGCACATTCTCGGAGGCACCTTGCTGATAGTGCAGGCCGGTGGCAGATGCTAGCTCGCATCACCTTGGCAGTAACTGACATGTAGCCTCTGACTCTTCCCCCTCACCCAGCGTGAAAAGGAAATATCCACCTTTTCCTGGTGCTGTCGGTAATGGCCTTGAGCCTGCTGAGCAAGCCTCCTCTCCCGACCTTGTGGGCAGGGTCCCCTCCCTCATTTAATCATGGAGAAGGGGGTAAGGAGGGCCTGGGAGGAGGATTAAAATCCGACCTGTTCAGGACTGGTGTGCATATTAGTGAAATGTTATAGCTGCTGCAGGCCCTCAGGCGATGCCCGGGGGCTTGGATGTGTGCTCTCCTGCGACTGGGGTCTTGGGAGGACAGTTCAGCTCTGACGGCCTCCGGTGGCCTCTCCTGGCCGCGGGCACATTTCTCACATCCAGTGCCAGGGCAGTGAGTATGGCCGGCGCCAGCATTCACAGATGTCGCCCAGGACAGCGTCCCAGCCATTGATTAGGGCTCGGAAGGGGAGGTGAGTGGGACAGGCGGGCTGTCTGGGAGTTCCCAGGAGCTGCTTTAAGACAGGTCATTTGAGTTTTGTGGCCCTCGGGTGGGGACGCAGAGGAGAGCCTGTTAGAAGGTGACCTCTGGCTGGGGCTGACTCGGACCCCTTCTTGGTCACTGAACTGGACTCAGCAATAAGACTCAGAGCCGAGGCAGGACCGCGGGATGCACAGATGAGCTTGTAAATGTGATAAAATGTCACCTGTGTGCAGGCCTAGGGGCCAGGGTGCCGTAGCACCGCCCTCAGAGCAGGCTCCCCTGCTTCTGGGCAAAACCTGGGACCCAAGGAGGATTTTGTCCCCAGACCGGCTGCTGGAAGGCAGAGCCTCGGTGGACCCGGAAGGGATGGGGTGGGGGCCCAGCCGGGCCTCCAGCTGACCACTCTCCCCACAGGGTGCTTGCCTCTGAGATAATGAGAAGCCTGCACGGATAGGCAGCTGGCAGGGGAGCACCCCCTCTTATTAATAGTACCTTCTGGCCATATCATTATGGGCAAAAGGGAACAATAGGTGCCCAAGAGGAGGATTACAATCTGTCCTAAAGGGTTACACCTTTAGGACATGCACATGTTAGTGAACACGGCCAGCTCTACACCCCTCAGCACCCTCCCCTCTCCCACAGTTCCTCTGTGCCTAGGTATTCTCTCTCTCTCTCTCTCTCTCTCTCTCACACACACACACACACACACACAAACACACACACACAGCCAGGAGATGTGGACATGTCCTCACTTGACCCAATTTGGGGGCTGTTAGAAGAATGGAACAAGTTCAATACTGTCATCTTCTCAGCGCTGCAATTTTCTCTGGCTTTTGCCTTTGATTAATGGCCCCTGTGTCGCTCCCTCCCAGCCTGCATACCTGAGAATCAGATTTCGCCTTCTGTGCCCTGGCCGTGGTTGGGGGGAGGTCCCTGCCAGCCTGGAGGGTGGATCTGGCCAGGCGTGGAGTCCTCCTCTCCACAGGCCCCAAAGGCTGGGCTGAAAGGACCTTCGTGAAAATGCAGGCCAGCAGGCCAGCGCTGGGTCCTGCCCCATGGCAGTGGGGACATGGTGCTGTCCTATTCCTGGCCTGCCCTGGGCCTTCCCAAAGCACCAGACCTTTCTACTCTCTGTTCCATGTTCCAAGGCTGTCAGCAGCGTGCCAGGGAGGACGAGTTTCTCTTAGCGACAGAAAAAAGAAAAATGATGTGATAAAATCACAGAAGCGCAGCCTCTCCGAGCTCGCTCCCCCAGCCGCCTCCTCCCAAGCCTCTTCTGGGTCTCTGGACCGTGGGGAATGGGGCAGAATCCATCCCGAGCGCCACGCGGAGTGGAGGACTGTGCCGGAGTCCTCAGGGTCTCCCTGCTCTCCTCACCCTCCGCACCGGGGTGCTGCTGGGTCCCACGATAGGAATGGGTTCCAGTGATGGCAAAGTCGTGACCCCTGTCGGCATCTGAGCACAGCTCTCATTTGCCCTTTCTCACCAGCACACCCTGTCAGTGTTCCTCTCTCTCTCTCTCTCCCCCCCTTCTACACACACACACACACACACACACACACACACACACTGCCCTTGTCTCTGAGCTTCAGCCTGGGAAAGAAAGATGCTGAGGAGGGGAGGGGAGACCCCTCGCACCAGCCGGCAGTCCTGGCCTGCTGGTTCCCCGTGGCCTCCTCCAGCCTGCAGCTGTAGCTTAATCCGCTTGCAGCTATTTTGGACATCGCCACCAGGGGAAGGTGGCTGGGCACGCTCTCCCTGAGCCGGGGGTCTGCTGAGTTAATGCTCCAGTTGGCTCGGTTCCCCTGACTGCCTTGGCCTTGCCTTTGCGAAGTCGTTTAATGAGCGCCGTTGCGGGGCTGAGTGAAGCAGGCAGGCCGAGGCTCTGGCCTCTCCTGGGTCCCCACAGGTCTGGCTCACGTGCCTCACAAGAGTATAAAGCCTGGCTCTTGGCTCAGAAAGCCCAGTTGCTATAGAAACAGTATGCAGTTTTTTTCCTACTTTCTAAATGGAAGCTCCCGAATGCCTGGGTGTAGTAACTGCTTCACGTGGGGCTGCGTTTTCCTGGGTCGGGAGCATGACAGGTGAAGCTGGCCATCTGAGTGAGCTGGGCAGCCAGGGACCCCAGCTGACTGCAGGGCTTTGGAATTCGTGCCTTGGTCTTTTTTCTTTTTTCTTTTTTTAATTTCTTTATTGATTAAGGAATCACATATTTGTCCTCATTCCCCCATGAGCCTTGGTCTTGATGGTGTAGTAAGGAGCCGGGGAAGCAATGGCAGCGTTGGGGCAGGATTTGGGGGCCCTCCCTCCTGTGTGGGCCTTTTGTCTGGAAGCAGGGACATCCATGGTTTCCCATCTGCCTCATGGCGGCCTCTGGTCCTGCTTTTTCTCCCCGCCACTGCTCCGCCATGCTTCTGGGGTCCAGCCCCCAGTGTGCACTCAGTGGGTGTCCACAGAGGCAGGAGAAGGAGCCGTTTGTCCACTGCACATCTAGGAAAAGGGGGGGATCCCCAATCTTCACAGTGACGACCCCCACAGAGATGTGAGGACACAGGGCAGTGTCAGGTGTCCTGGCTGGAGGCTGTGTCCTCAGCCACATTAGCCGCCCTCACATTCAGCTGTGGGTATAGGCCTCACCGCCTCCCTCCGCCCTCCTCTGTCCTCTCTGACCTCCGCTCCTCACCACCCTCTGCAGCTGCCTCGCCCGCCCCTGAGAAACACCTGACCGGGAGCAGAAAGGCAGCTGTAACCCCGCAGGCCTCACCTTGACCAGGCACTTCCTCTGCGGAGCAGGCCCTGGGGCTCTGGCGTGTAGCACTTTGACTGTTTGTTGTTAAAGCAGATCTCACAAGCTTGCTTCTCTGGTTTCCTTGAAGGAGCATAAGCTTGACCCCCTTGCAGCCTCAACAGCTGTCTCAGTGGCAGCCCTAACCAGGGAAAGTTGAGCTGATAAAGATCTGCTGTTTATGACAGCATTTATCCTGAACCAAGGGCTTTCAGGTCTTTGTCTCCTTCGCTCCTGACAAACCCTCTCAGGACAAACGCCCCATCAGGACAACCCTCCCCCCTCAGGACAAACCCCCCCCTCAGGACAAACCCCCCTCAGGACAAACCCCCTTAGGACAAAACCCTGTGGGGAGGCAGGGAGGAGAATCTGCCGGATCCCAGCCCCTGCTGGGGCCTCAGCACTGGGTCCCTCCGAATACACATGCGGGTCCAGGGGCACGAGGCACAGCTGGCAGAGTCCCGGCTTGTTCCTCTGAGCTGCTGGCAGAGCCTGGCTCTTGGGTCGCCCTGTCCAGTGCTGCTCCTGCGAGCCCATTGGAAAGTCAGAGCCATTGCTTTGAGCAGGATGGGCAGGGGCACCTCTCACCCCATGGCGGCGGAGGCTGGAGCCTGGAGCCGCTGGCCTGGCGAGGGATGTGCCCAGAGAGAGGGGGAGGGTCCTCCAGGCCTTCTTTGCCCTCCCCAAGCAAGAGAGCAACAGCCCCTCTAATGGGATTTTCCTTCCCTCCTCAAGGCCCGGGCCACCCCCCCCACCCCAACGTGTGCTAAACCAGGGGCCACAGGGGAGAGGACTTGAGGGGCACAGCAGGCTACGCCCCGTCTCTACCAGACCGGACCTCCTGTGCTGAGGGATATGGGCCTGTCCTGGGTAACTAGGACCTGAACTGTGTCCCCACCCTCCTGCCACCCACTCCAGGATGAAGGGAGAGAGGAACATGGCACAAAGAGGGCTAAGCAGGCAGTGAGGAGCTGGGGGCTCTGATCTGGAGCTCCTCCCCTCCCCCCACATTACCCCAGCTCCTCAAGGGCGGGGTGGGGCGGGAGTCTTTGGCACTGGCCTCTACCCTCACCTGGCTGTGTCTGGACGCCACGGAGGAGGGTCTGGGTGGTGGGCCCTGGAGGCAGAGACCAGCCTGGCACCTTTAGAGCAGCTCACAGGGTGAAGGAGGGCCTGGGGTAGGGAGGACGGGCGTAAAGAGGGATGAGCGAGGTCACCCAGGTCCAGTGCTGCAGGCGAAGTGATTATACACATCCGCCCTCCACCCGCCCGCACACGTGGTGTGGCCTGCAGCTGGGTCCGGTTGGCTAGCTGCTGCTTGGCAGCCCTGCAGCTACTGTCCTGAGCCCCAGCCTGGCTCCCGGAGCAGGTTTTACCGGAGCCTCCTGCCCCAGCTCCCTGGTGGCAGCAGCTGCTGCCACAACCACGTTCCCTCCTGGCAGAAGCCTCCTGACAGCCTGCCTGGCACTGCCAGCCGGGCCTGTGTGAGGCCATCACTGCCTGGAAGGCTCAGCGAGGACAAGCCCAGTGCTGCCTGGCCGGACGGAGACCAGCCGGACCCTGTGGGCCTCCTGGAGCCCCGGTCCCCATCAGCCCGTGACTGCTCCCTGCCACGGCCCCCTCCCGCGGCCCCAGTTCCAGTTCACCTGTGGACTCCAGCCTTCAGCTGGATCTTGTCTCTCCCCACCCCAAAGCCTCCCTGGCTCCCCACTGCCCAGAGCACCCCAGTTCCCCTAGGTGACGAGGCCTGGCACAATGACTGAGGCCGTGTCTGTGCTTCCCCCTTCGGTGTTTGAAAGCATACCCTGTGGTCACAGCGGGCCCCATGAAGGGGACTGACGCAGGGGAATTCCAGATGCGCCTGCTGAGCCTCTGCGTCATTTTGTGGCCTCGTGGTGGGTCTCAATCTCTGTGACAGGAGGAGCGAGGAGCGCCCGCAGCTTCCTTTTCTTCCAGATAATTTCCCGTCCATCACCCATCCTCTCCCCTGACCCCAGGCTACCCCAGCCAGCAGGGCGAGGTCTCACTTCAGAAAGGGGGGGGGGACTCCAGGGCGCAGGACCCCCAGCTGACTGCCCCTGCGCTGCTGTCTGCAGGAGGAGCGGCCCCCCTACCACCGCCACAAGAAGGGGGGCTCTGTGGGCAGCGTGTGCTACCTGTCGATGGGCATGGTGGTGCTGCTCATGGGCCTCGTGTTCGCCTCCGTCTACATCTACAGATACTTCTTCCTTGCTCAGGTGAGGCTGGCGGGGGCGGGGGGGGGGGTGGGAAGCACTCAGAAAGGGGAGTGTGGGAGTTTGCAGCAGATGTGGGAGCTAGCAGGAGAAGGCAGCATGAGCAGTTGGGATCCAGGTGCTTGGGGTTTGTGAAGAGGGGGAGCAGGACACCCTGGACATGCCCCCCAGATAGGAGGAGTGCCCAGGCTGGCCCCAAAGACCTGCCCCCTCATCCTCCCTGGAGCGTCCTTGGGTACAGTCAGCTCACCCTTAGCCCCTCATCCTGGGAGCCTCGCTCTGGTCCAGGAGCCAGGCCTGGGGCCGTCCTCTAATGCCTACAGACCCTGGACGAGAGTCCTTACCCATTTCCTCAGACACACCTGAAGGTCAACAGGAAACTCTCCCAGGAGTGCAGTCAGCGTGGGGAAGCCAGGATTAGAACCTGGGCCTGTGGCCCGAGGCCCCTTCCCACAGAGTCACCCTGGGCTGTTGTCACCAGAAACCCAGACCGAGCACAAATCAGAACTCTGATCCCTCAAACCCTGTGCCCAAGAGTCACGCTTTAAGAAATTCCATCCAGTTTTATGTTTGGACGTAGGTGAGTGGAGAGACCCACTCACCACCCCCAGCTGGCCCACCCCCAGCGATCTGCTCCTGCAGCCAGGCTGGGCTTCAGCGAGGCCTGAACTGTTCATGGTCACAGTGACCTTGTGATCAACCACGACCTGGGGAGGGAGGCAGTGCCCCTCGAACTCGGAGCTGAAGGTAGCTCAAAAGAAGAACCTCAAGCACAACAAATGAGGAATCTCGGAGGGATGAAAAGGCTGCCCATCATTTATGCCCCCAGTGACCTCTCCCACCCTTAAGCATTGGCCTTTACCTTGGTCTTCACTCAAGTTTCCCACAAGGGGAGTCACTGAAGAGTTTCTGTTCCTTGGGACTTTCCCCCTGGAACCCGCCGACTTCCCCTTTTGTCCTCCCTCCCCTCAAGGCCTGCTCCCCACCTTCCCCTGGTTCTCACTTTCCTAAGTGGATCCGGGGGCCTTTTCCTGCGTGGCCACAGCCCTCTCCTCCGCCCACTCTGACTCCTGGTCCCCTCTGTTCCCAGCCCCCGCCCCCACTCCAGGGTTCCTCCCCCACCACGATTCCCAGGGCCTGGGGCACCTCAGACTACCCTCTGTCTGTGCCCTGGGACCCTGTGATTCATGCGTGCTCACCCCTCCTGGAGCTGGCTTGCACAGAGACAGCAGGAAAGCCCTGCCCAGTTCAGGCCAGCTGTCCGGGCACCGAAGGAGGAGCCCCTGGAGAATTACCAGTGGGCCCACCCGGTCGGTCCCTGGCCTCAATCATGTCACACTGCCTCCCTCCCCTTATTTTTTTAAAATATACTTTTATTGATTTCAGAGAGGACGGAGAGGAAGAGAGATTAATGATGAGAGAGAATCATTGATCGGCTGCCTCCTGCACACCCCACACTGGGGATCATGCCCACAACCCAGGCATGTGCCCTGGCTGGGAATCAAACCGTGACCTCCTGGTCCTTAGGCCGATGCTCAATCACTGAGCCACGTTGGCTGGCTCCCTTTCCTTATGATGGAGTGACGAGGCCAGCCACTCAGAGAAAACAGCGTTGGCCAAGGTTTCTCATGAGGCATGGGGCCCAGGGAAGGTGGGGCTTGTGTGAGGCTGGACATGGAACTGGAATCACAAGGGCTGCCTCTCGGCTCCTCCCCGTCCCCACTCTGCCCCCAGGTCTTTGGGGCCCCACAGCAGGGGCTCTCTGGTGGCGGTGTAGGGCGCTGCCTGCCCCCGGAGCCCAGCTGGTTCAGTGCAAGCTCCTATGTCTGCCCCTGAGGACCCTCCTGTTCACCCCAGGCTCTTTCTCAGGTGTCTGTCCCTCTGGGTCCTCCCCATGCTGGTCCACCCCATTTCCCAAGCACAGACCCATGGACCCGAGGTCAGAAGAACCCTGAGGGAGCACCTCATTTTACAGATGTGGAAACTGAGGCCTGGAGAGGTCACCCACCTAGGAAATGGTTGGCCCAGCTCACCCTCCCTGACTCCCCACGTTCCTCAGTCTCTCCATCTGTGAAACGGGTCCCACAGTCCCACCCTTCCTGTGTCCTCCGGCCTTAAGAGAGTGAAGTGGTTGGGAGGTGGCAGTGGCCGTGCCCAGGGCACGGCGTGACCAGTCTGTCTCTCCCCGCCTTCTCAGCTGGCTCGAGACAACTTCTTCCACTGCGGCGTCTTCTACGAGGACACCCTGACCTCCCAGGCCCACACGCGGATGGAGCTGGAGGAGGACGTGAAGATTTACCTCGAAGATAACTACGAGCGCATCAACGTGCCAGTGCCCCAGTTTGGTGGCGGCGACCCTGCCGACATCATCCATGACTTCCAGCGGGTGAGGCCCGCGGGGGCTGAGGCTGGGGCCGGGCGGGAAGAGGGGCACCCGGGGCCCGCAGCCCCCTTCCAGGAGTCACGAGGAAGAACAGACGTGAAAGGAGAATGCTGACGGCCCTGGTACATGCTTTGACTATAGACAGAGTGATATCAGCTGTGTGCAGGGCGTGGCTGACTACGGCTTAGCTTTGTTGGGGTTTTAAAGACATTGGTTTCATTATGCCAGGTGCTAAAATAAGTTTACAGTTGCGAATATACAAAACAGGAAGTTTTTGTATTACTCATTAGTAATTGTATCATTTTCGTACGAACAACTGAGCCCACTTCTGCCCGCCCTCCGTGGGGAACGCAGTGACCTCTGAATGAAGGAGCCATGGGCTCTCCCCCGCCACCTGCGGCTGCAGACGCTGGCTTCATGGGTCAGGGCGTCCCCTTTTATCGCTTATTCCTGTGCCACGTTCATCGAGGTGCAGCATAAGGAGGGCCCGGGATCGGGGGTTTTTCCCTGAGGGTCCACAGAAGCGGGCCTCCCAGCTTTGATAGCATGCAGTCGGGACATCACTGTTCCCCACACCTCAGCTCTGTCACCCGGGAGAAGAGCCCTGTGACACCGAAGGGTTTCACACCGGGTGTCTTGCATCTAATGAATGAAACACAGGCTGGGAGAGGAGCAGGAAAAATGGGTGTATCCCCACGGCGGGGGTGGGGTTTCTGCCTTTGCTAGCCAGAGGCCTCTCCCAGCTCCCTCTCCCCCAAGGGCCAGGCCCTCACCTGCAGGGCCTGACATGGCCCCCGCCTTCTCCCCAGGGCCTGACCGCCTACCATGACATCTCCCTGGACAAGTGCTATGTCATCGAGCTCAACACCACCATCGTGCTGCCCCCTCGCAACTTCTGGGAGCTCCTCATGAACGTGAAGGTGAGCGGGGTTTTGGCGGTATCTTGTCCCTCCCTGTGGAGCCAGGCCTGGGGTGAGGGAGGTTTCACGTCCTCACTCTGTGCCCCAGCCCGTACCCCACTCTGTACCTCACTGCATACCCCAGCCCGTGCCCAGTCACAGTGCAGGGGGATGCGGAGGCTCTGCCCTCAGGGTGCGCGGCCAGACTCCCACACGCAGAACTCAGGGCAGCGCCGGTGGCAGTACATAGCCCAGCAGCATGTGCCTGGGGGCATTAGAAGGCCGTGCTGTGGAGCCTCTGAATGAGGGAGGGGGCATGTGTGCATGTCAGAGTTGGGGGACACAGCTCGCGTGCGCAGAAGGGTGGCGACGGGGGAGCGGGCAGTGAGCTAGTGGAGATCACGGGAGGGGAGCCCTTGTGCTGACCAGAGCTGTGGCCACTCCCTTTGCAGAGAGGTACCTACCTGCCGCAGACGTACATCATCCAGGAGGAGATGGTGGTCACAGAGCACGTCAACGACAAGGAGACCCTGGGCTCCTTCATCTACCACCTGTGCAACGGGAAGGACACCTACCGGCTGCGGCGCCGGGCAACTCGGAGGCGTGAGTGGCCCCTGCCCCGCGCTCCACCCCAGGCCCGTCCCAGCTGCCGGCCCCAGGGCTGGAGACCAGTGTCAGCTCAGATGGCAGCAGCAATAAATGTTAATTGAGCACTTAGTACATACCACGCATTTTACTTAAACGCTCTTTATGTCCTTAAAGTTATCATCATCATCATTATTGCTGCCCCTTTTAAAGGTGAGGAAACAGAGGCTCGAGAAGTTAGTTAATCCCTCTAAACTTGAGAGTCTAAAGTCACACAGCAGGAGGGAGGCCATGCTGGCCCTGATGCCAGCTCCTGAGCGCTCAGCATTTCACTGTACTGCCTGGGGTGAACTTGGGTTTGTTTTCCTGGGCCGCCTGCCCCTCCCCTCTGGTCCCCTCAGGCTCTGAGGCTGGTGGCTTTGTAGCCCAGCCAGTTCTGGGCCAGGACACGGCCTCACTGGGAATTCTCTGTTCCGCGCAGGAATCAACAAGCGTGGGGCCAAGAACTGCAACGCCATCCGCCACTTCGAGAACACCTTCGTGGTGGAGACGCTCATCTGTGGAGCGGTGTGAGGCCTCCCTGCCCTCCCGGCCCCACCCCTGCCTCTCCTCGTTTCTCTTCCTGCCCCTCTCTGGTCTTCCTTCTTCCCCTCTCTTAGCTTGTACTTTGGACACCATTCCATAGACGTAACGTGCCTCCCCATCCCGTCCAGCCCTGCCCACCTCCCTGTACCAGAGCCGGGACCTCTCAAGGCCCTCACCTCCGCTGCCGTCCTGGGCCTGGGGGACAGAGAGGGCGCCCTGAGATGGTTTCTGTGACCACCATCTTAAAGTTGGGTCCTCGGGGGAGGACAGGATGGAGGGGCTGGGCCCGTGGGGGTCCTGGGCTAAGGGATAGGGTGTGGGAGGGGTGTGGAGTGGGGTTCAGAAATGTCTGCACAGTGGGGGGAGTCCCAAAGGCTTTTTCCTTGGATGGCACACTTGCTCCCGTGTCCCAGCCCCGGGTCTGGGCTGAGGATGGTGGACTGTGCCAGGGATGGACCCACCGGAGCACAAGGGAAGGTTGTTGTCCTGGGGCCTCCCCGGACTCCTGTCAGTGCCTTCGGCCCTCCAGAGGGAGCCTGGAGCTTGGGGGTGGGGATGAGTTTGTCAAGCACAATCGTTCTCTGAGTGGAACCAAAGAGGGAGGAGCCAGGGCCCCCCAGGAGTATGGCAGGGCCCCACGGCCACAGCCACAGCCATGCCAGAACAGGGCAGAGGAGGGTGGCCTCTGTCGCTGTGGGTCTGAGCGTGCCAAGTGGGCGGGGCTCCTGGCTTCCTCCACGCTTCGGGCTGTTGCAGAAGATAATGTGGAGGGAAGGGAGAGCACCTGGTACCTGCACACCCTGCTCCTCCTTATTCTGAAATCCGTGCCCCTCTGCTTCGGGGGATGCACCGTTTTTCCTTTTCCTCCTCACTTTTGCATGTTTTACTGATCATTCCATATGCTAACCGCTCTGAGCCCCGAGCTTTGAAGAGGAGGCTTCAACGCCTCCAGTCAGGCTTAAGTGCTCCCTGGAGATAAAACTCTTAAACGCTTTATATATTTTCTCACTTAGATTTCTTTTCAGAAGTGTCTGTAGAACAATAAAATTCCTTGACTTCTGACTTTGACTCGAAAATGGCAGGTGGGGGTAGGCAGGGCGAGGGGTGCTGCAGCCTGGGGGCAGAGTGGCAGGGGATGGGGTGGGGGAGTAGGCCGGGGCAGCCAGCAGGCTTTGGCGTCTGATCCCTGCAGAGGTGGGCCAGTTCCCTGGTCCAGCCCAGGACCGTACATGTCCCCTCATAAGCCAGGCAGATTCATGTTTTACATGTGAGGGGGCTCTGAGGGCTTGCACAACCTGCCCAAGGTTATGCTGCTTCTAAGTGCCTCCAAACCACCCCGGAAGATGACATCATCATTGCTTGTCCTGAAGCACAAGGGCGCTGATGTGTTCTCCACGATTTCTGGGCATTAAATAACCAGGTTGGTGGGGCTGAGCTGAGATTGGCATGAGTCAGGTCCACGTTCTGCAGAGAAGGAAGAGGGAGAGCTGCCCAGAACCTTGACCGGATGAGCTCAGCGGTGGGATGAGGACAGGTACCTTCGCTATAGGTCCCAGTCAGGCTCAGTAATCCTGGGAGGGGCATAAAAAGCTCAGGTTAGTACAGACACGCCTTGTTCTAAATCTTGCAATGAAATCAGTCTAAATCCAATCAATTAAAATGCCAACAGTTTATTTTTTTAACTTGACTTTCAGTTCTTTTAGGAAAGTATGCATGGAGAATAGCCTCAGATATTAAACATTATAAACTACAATTAAAGAGTTTGCTGTAGCAAAGGGAATGGATGTGGTGGAGGCCTGGAAGTTAACTTACATTCAAGAAAATTTAGGGGGGACGTGAATTTTAGTGGGACAACTGGGTAACTGTTTTGACAATAATTAACCAGGATCCTACTTTCTTGCAACAAAAGCCTAGATGGAGCAAAGGTTTTGAGTATGAACTGAAACCATGAAAGTATTTGAAATGATTTAAAAGATAATCTGGGAGGAGGAAAGACCTTTCTAAATGAGACATCTACCAATAACTTGGATTATGAAAAATTAGAACTTACATAGAGCAAGCAAAACACCAAGGCAAAAGATTAATAAGCTGCAAACTGGGGGAGATGTTGAAACATAGGACATAAAAAGGGCTATTTTCCTTAATATGCCAAGTTCTTAAAATCATGAAAAATGAATAACTTGGTACATAAAAAGGCAAAGAATATAAATAGGTAGTTCACAGAGAAATACAAATGGATCATAGCTAAACATGAAAAGATGTTTTATTATTGTAAAATGAAACAAAAAGGGAGACACATTTTTGCAGGAAGGATTCATATATAGCAAAACAAAGAAAAAATGTTATCTGTAAATCACTAGTGTGTAAGTTGTGAAGCACAATATATTTTATTTCTTTAATTCAAATAACTAAAACTTTTATTTCTTTTTTTTAACCTGTCTCACTGAGTAGGACCTCTTGTACCATGGTGATAATCACAAATCTTGGCTTGTTCTTGATTTTAAAGAGAATTCGCCTTGCATATAGTTTTAGATATTGGAAAATACTATTTTTTAAGGTTAAAGCAGTTGTCTCCTATTTCTAGTTTTCATCTTTAATGAGGGGTAGGTGTTTAATTCTTTTATCAAGTGTTTTTTCTTTATTGATATGATCACATGTTTTTCCCCTTTAACTTGTTAATGTGGGGCTAACAATAACTCATTTGGTCATGATGTGTTCTCTTGTTTCTATACTATTGGGCTTTGATTGCTGATATTTTCTTCAGCAGTTTGGATGCGTGTTTATTAGTAAGGCTGGCCTGAAATTTCCCTTTCTCACACTCTCCTTCACAGGCCTTTGTGTCACTAGAATAAGAGGGGGAGACTGGTTTTGTGGTTTGGTTCGGTGTAAGTTTAATAATACCCAGGCTTCTCAAGTATGTACTTGGTATAAGCCCTCTTTGGTGACAAGAGTCAAATTTTAAAATGCAATGGGTTTGACCCAACAGTTTCACTGTTAAGAGTTTATCCTATGGATATACTCAAACAAGTTTACAGAAATGTAAGTGGGTACAAGGATATTTATTGTTGTAACAGCAAGAAACTAAAAACAAAACTCCCTCAACTGGGGGCTTATTTTTAAAGTGCATATTTTGTGGCCATTACAAACACTGAAGTATCTCAAATTAGTGCTGATGTGCAGAGTTCTCCAAGACCTGTGATTAGGGTAAGTGCAGACCAGTGTGGCTCAGTTGGTTGATCATTTGTCCCATGCACTGAAAGGTCACCAGTTCCAATTCCTGGTCAGGGCACATACCCAGGTTTTAGGTTCGATCCCCAGTCCAGGTGCATAAAGGAGACAACCAACTGATGTTTCTCACATCAATGTTTCTTCCTCTCCCTCTCCCTCTCTCTCTCTAAATCCAATTAAAGAAACATATAAGGGTAGAGTAGTTGGCAGAGCAAGAATAAAATATATATCCCATTTGTGAATTTTCTGAAAGATAATGCATGTACTGCTTCTGGAAGGATACTCCAAACCATGTAACAGCCATGTCTGGAGGGCAGAGATCTGGAGGCCTCTATTTCTCCTGTCGAGAAGATGCATTCTCTTTATAGTCTAAGTGTGTGTATGTCTCCATGTGCCCTGCAGCCAGGATGGAGGAGGCCTGCTGGCTGAGGCAATATCCTCACTGTCAGCTAATGGCACAGAGTCACCCAGTTCGCCTCTGGCCCTTGTGGTCTGTCACTGATCCTAGACAGGAAGCCCTATATTAGGCCCAGGTTTGGCCTGAAAAAATAGAGCAGTTGCAAATGTTAAGTTGACATAAATAGGAGGCTCTGTAACCGACGGTGGATGTTGCTATGGAAACTGGAGCCTGGGCAGTCTCCATGGAAACCGTTCTCAACTCTGCCTGAAGGAGCTGCCACCCACGGGTGTTGAAATCTTACTTATCAGGGACCTTAGAGCTTCAATAAACGCTAAGGGAGGGGATGGTGGGTTGGCCCCTGCTCGCCCAGGTGGGCTCTAGGCACCACCAGCTGCTGCTGGAGAAGGAGGAAGAGCCACCTTCCCACAGGAGGTGCCCTTATGGGGAAGCAATGTATTCAGAGTCCCCGGAGGGAGCAGGGCCCTCATCTGGGGGTCCAGGGACCTGGGCTCTGCCACTGACCGCCCGTGTGCGGCTTCACGGTGGTGGACTAACTCAAAAGAGCCTTTTCCCCGGAAGTAACATGTCGGGCCCAGCCCCACTGAAGCCAGGGCTCTGGGCACCTAACCGAGGACTGAGAAGGATGGTGGGTAGCAGTGTGCTAATGGGAGCTGGGAGGGAGGGGCATCCTTGTCCAACATTGTGGGTATGAGGACCCACACTTTTTAAGCATATGCCCGGGGCTTTCATTGATTTACTTTGTTTATGTCTTCCATTGTCTCTAAGATAGGTGTGAATTTCATAATCACACACTCAGGCATGCAAAAACTTATTTTTCTATAATAATCTATTTTGTATAGAAACCTATTTTTCAAATCCCCATTTAGTCTGGTGGCAGAAAATGTCATCTTGGTCTTTTTGGGGTAAACTACAGTTTTAAGCTCCACCAATGAGTGGATCACCTTTTTAGTAGATGCTCATTTTTGCCTGCACCAGGGCCCTGTATTTGGGGTCTTCCCTACGATGGGGCTTTGATGGGAGATAGCGGTGGCCGCCTAACATTTCTGTGAATACACGGAATGGGGGACCACAAAGACCGAGTCACCGAGCATCCTGTGGGCAGAAGGCGGTGGGGGCACCTTTCCTAGAGTTGGTAGATTCATTGAATCATTGGTTCCCCTTGTCGGCCCCCAATTGCTGTTTCTCCAGCCCAGCGGTGGTTCTCTGAGCTCCCCAGTGTCCTGTCAACAGCGCCTTTCCTCCTGGGTTAGCCAGAATGCTTCCTGTTACTAAAGCCACAGTTTTAGAACTAGAGTACCTTGTGATCAGAAAACAACTTAATTCTTCCCACTTCCTTTTCAAAACCTGTTCAGTGGGGATGGTTCTCACCTAGCCTTGAATGAAATCTAAGGTAGATTTCTTGTTGTTTCGTTTTTTGGGGGGAGGGGAGACAGGGAATTCATTGAAGATCGTAAAAATTTCTGGAGACACTTTTAGGCACAGAAGTCCAATTTCAAGAAATACAATGTCTAGTTATGAAAATAGTTGAGACTCCAAGTTCATTGGAAGCTGTAGCTGCTCCCCTCCACCCGCTGAGACACGGAAACGTGTGGCTGGCAAAGGAGAGCGTGGTCAGCATTACCTCCACGACCCTCCTCTGGGCATACTCCGTGCCCCACCCCCAGGCTACCCCAGCACCATTGGGTGGGGAACCGGTGCAGGACAAGGAGGGGCAGGAGCAGTGGCTGGTGGTATCTGGCACCGTTCCCCTCCCTGGAGTAGGTGCTCATGGGAGTGTTTGATTCCCCGCATTCTCACTGCTCACTGCACCTCCAGGTAGGTGAGCCCTCTGCGCTCCAGTCTTCTGGGGCTGGTCTCAGTGCTTTTGAGACATTCCCCCGCGCTCCGATGCTGGGCTACAGCCTCAGGGCACCTCTCCTTGCTCTGTGCTCCAAGCAGGCAGCCCAGGCCACCGCGCTGACTGTCATACACCAGGTCCTCAGGGGACCCTCCCGACAGCAGGGAATCCCTATCAAGCTCTGCATAGCCTCATGGAAGCCCCTCTTGCTAGGCCAAAGGCAACGGCATGGCAAGTGGGTCACAGATTATTCTCAGAAACGTTCTGTGCCGTTAGCCAGCATGGAGTGGGGGATGGACAAGAGTGGCAGGATTGGCTTGGAGTCGCTCCTTGGCAAGTCCTCTGTTTTGGAATGTCCAGCAAGTGGGCACATTCCTGCTTTTTCTCAGATCCCTGAGGGGTGT